CAGGGAGATGTAAAGCTGGTAAGTGAGAGAGAAGTAATATTCTTTGAAAAGGTTAGTTTTTCACTTCTTTGCAGATTTATGCTCCATGGCTTCTATGCCCAGCACTTGTTTTGAGGTATCTTTACTTCCTGGAAAATTATGGTACTTGGTAATTTCACGTATGAGGCACAAATTCTAGTAAAGGGCTGTAATTAGGAAAGAAGAAAAACAAACTATAGAAGTAGTAGAGGGAAGAAAACATGAAATGATCAATTAAGTGTCAACAGGGTTATTCCATTCAACATTCTCTCATAACTTGATTTCTAGAAAACTTTCCGTCACTAGTTTCACTAGCAGTGTAAACAAGGGGGGCATTCTCAGTGGAAATGGGGTGGTCAATGTTTGACTAACAGCAGGTTTTGGTACTTTATGCTAAAATCACCATCTGGCCCTGCATGTTCTATTCTTCAGGAGCACTGTCCTGAAAAGCTTTTGGGAAGTTTATGTTCTCATCCTTTCCATGCTGCTTAGCAAAGGTTAGCTTAGTCTTTAGCAACAATGCAGGTAAAAACAAAGCCAATAGTATAATGGAGAATAACAAAACCAAGGTGGGTAATAGAGGGAGCCAGCTGCGAAGGCCCCTGCTTTGCAGGGGTCTTCCTCCAGCCTGAGCTTCGCTACACAGCTTGGCACCTAGTGTTTTTATTTCTTTGCTTGCTCATTTTAACCATGCTGAACAAAAAATGAATTGAGTCCTGTTTCTGGATTCCCTGCTACAGGTCTGAAGCAAAACCAGGGAGAAGATGAAGATGTAGTGGGATTCATATTGGAGGCATGCTTGTTTCTGGAGTGTCACCTTCTCTCAGATAAGTGAGATTTTGATGTTGAACATCTTTTCATTGGCCAGTGGTATATCTTCTTAGGAGAAATGCCTCTTCAAATCCTTTGCCCATTTTAAATGGGCTATTTGTCTTCTTATTTTTGAGCTGGAGTGAAGATCCTTACCTTTCCAGTCTAGCAATTAAAACAATTGAGCAAATTGATATTTACTGAAAAAGAAATTAATAAATGTACCAATAGATTACTTTTCAAAGGGCTTCCTGTAATGACATACCAATTTTAAATAAAATCCAAAGCCTTTTTTATGGTCTGCCAGCAGGCATGACTCTGCTGCTCATCACATTTCTCATCTAATTCGAGTTCCTTCATTCAGTCTCCTGCAGCTTCACTGACTTGGTTGATTTTCCTTGAAGGTGCCAGGCAAGTATGCAACTCATAGTCTTTGCATTTGCTGTTGCTTGGGCCAGGACCCCTCTAACCCCAGATCACTTCATGCTCCTTCCAGCTCCTCAGTCTTACCTCAATTCTAATGCTGCGTTCTTAGGGAATCCTCTTCTGACCTCAAAATTAATTGATGAATTGATTAATTCACCATATATAGCCTTCTACTCATTATATATCTATCAAGCACCTACCAACTGCTTTGAAGTGGTTTGGGTGTTATGGATGAAGCAGTGAACAAAAGATAAAATTCCTGCTGCAATAAACTTGTTTCCTGGGGAAAAGTTTGGGATAGAAATGCAAAAACATTATCATAATCAGGGACTGACAATACAAGGGTCAGGGGACTGAGAGTATCAGAGGTTGTGCTTTTTTATATGAGTGATCAGGTAAAACCTATCTGGTAAGGTGAAATATAACTAGGGAACTATAAGAAGTAAGAAAAGATTTGTTTATTTGGAGAAAAAGCATCCCAGTGAGAGCAAAGATTCTGAGGAAGAAGTGGAGTTGAAAGGCTTATGAAATATGAGGTAATCCAATGTTGCTGGAGCAGTGAGCCAAGGAGTGAAGGGTAGGAGATGAAATCATGCAGGTAACAGGGGGCCAGATCACATGGAACTTCAAAGACTATTGAGTAAGATGGGGAACCAGGGAAATGTTTTGAACCAAGAAGTGGAATGATTGAATTTATATTCACTAGGATGTATTTGCCGAGTGGAGGATAAATCAGAAGCAGAGAGACCAGCTAAGAGGCTTCTGTGATATTCCAAGTCAGAGATGATGGTAGCTCAGAGTAAGGTGATAGCCCTGGAGGTGGTGAAAAATTGTCAGATTCTGGAAATATTTTTAATTAGAACCAGAAATATTACTTGATGGGTTATTCATTCACTCAACAAATATTTATTGATTGTCCATGATGTTGTAGGAACTAGACATTTAGCAATAAACAAAAGAGGTGAAAATTCCTGGACCTTCCTTTCTAGCCTTGGAAACAGATAAACCATATAGATAAATAAAATATGTATAGTATTTCCAATAGTGATAAGTATTATGAAGAAGAATAAAGCAGGAAAAGGAATAGAGGAGGACTGCAGCTTTGGCAATTTTTAAAAAGATGACCATGAAAGACCTCTGAACAGATGGCATTTGAATAGCGATCTATTCAGGTAAAGGAGCAAGCCATGTGCATTTGTGGAGAAGCAGCAATTCAGAGCAGAAACAGCAAGGATAAGCATTCTGAGGCAGGAACAAGTCTGGATGTTCAAAGAACCACAAAAAATCTAAGGAGAGTGGTAAGATTGGGGGTCACAGGAGTTGTGGGGCTGTGATGAGGAGCAGAAAGTGGGGAGACTAGAGAGTAGACAGGGTGAGACTCAGGGACAGAGAGAGAAACTGAAGTAGAGAAGATCGGAAGAGAGACAGGGGACTAAGGAACAAAGACAGGGAGAGACAGAGTGTTGGGGCAACTGAGGCCGACTGAAGATAATGCTGAGGGGCAGAGATACAATACAGAGTAAGTGGGTAAGAGGCAGTCCTGAGGTGGCGACTGAAGACAGAAAATGGACTAGGGCACACGAAGGGGGAATCTGGGATAAAGAGGGGGAAGACTAAGGCGTAGAGGGGAGACTGAGGCATACAGAGGTACAGAAGGAAGAGAGAAATTGGATATTCAGGTGCCACATCAGCAGGCTTCTGTAGACAGATTCTGGCGTCCCTGCCCTGCTTCAGTGGTTCCTACAGACGCTTGACCTGTCCCAGGAGAGGCATCTGAACAGCAACCTGAGCTCTGGATGAAAGACTATCAATTTAAAGCCCAGCCCTAC